CGTGAAGGGCCCCCCGGAGGCGGAAAGTAGCGCAACGCTTCCCGTCGTGTTTTTTTTGACAACGCGAGGGGCTCTGGGCTTCCTCCTCTGGTCAGGGCTCCTGTCGTGATCTGTTCCGCGACGCAGCATTTTTTTGCCCGCGACGTCGGACCTCTGGCCTTGCGCAGTCGCTCCGCCTGTGTGAAGGGGCCCAGGGTGAAGTCGGGCGTGTCCCCCTACAGGGGGATTTTCGACGACAGATAAACAATACCCCCGAAATACTTTAAAAGATAGTCAAACAGTCTTGGGACTATTTTTTTTTAAGTTTTGTTAACCATGTTGGGGTATTTTCCGTACTCTTTTTTGTTCGCCCACAATCCCCATGTAGGGGGACACGCCCGACTTAAGCCCAGGGACATACAAACAAGTGGTACGCGTGCCCTGGCTCTTGCACCAAGGAGCTGCGAGGGACAGGAGGCTTTCGCCTCCTTCCTCCAGGAATTTCCTTCCGTGGCCCCGGGGGGAAGGACGAAGGACGGACGAACGAACGAACAACGACGACGAAAATAAAGAGGTCCGAGCTCTAGAACGCAGTTGTGCGAGAGAGTGAAAATACACAATCCCAATACTTTTCCCGATCTTTTTGATTTTCGCCCCCCCTCCTCTTCCCATATTTTCCCATATATCTTCTGGGGGGTCGAAGATTTTCTGGGGAATCGACGAATTTTCCTATATTTTCTCTGTGTGTGTTCCTCCTTGGGGCTCCTGTCCAAGGTGTACCTTTTCCTGCACGTCCCGTTCGGCACCGCCTGATCCCCGGGCTTCGCCCGCCCCTGGCCGCGTGAGGCCCCGCCTTCTCCCGCCCTTTCTCTGCCAATTCAAGCTGTGCGCGTCCCGCGTAGCTTTCAGCGGAAGAGGTTCGCTCTCGCCCTGCAGATCAAAAAAAGTGTGTGCTCCTCCCCTCCTGGCTATGGCCGTGCGCAGGAGCGGCCCCCCCGGGCAGAAGGTGCTGCTCCCGCGGAGCGCGCGGCTGCTTCTCTGGCGGGGGCCGCCCGCGGGGGGGTGGGCGGCGGCTGGCGCGCAGGCCAGTGCCGGAGGAGGAGGAGGAGGAGGAGGAGGAGGAGGAGGCGGGGAAGGAAAAAGAGGAGGAGGAGGAGGAGGAGGAGGAGGAGGAGAGGAGGAGGAGGAGGGGGAAGGAAAAAGAGGAGGAGGAGGAGGAGGAGGAGGAGGAGGAGGAGGAGGAGGAGCAGGAGGAAGAGGAGGAGGAGGAGGAGGGAGGAGGAGGAGGAGGAGGAGGAGGCGAGAAGGAAAAAGAGGAGAGGAGGAGGAGGAGCAGGAGGAGGAGGAGGAGGAGGAGGAGGCGCGGCGGAGGGGGCGGAGGAGGAAGACAAGGCGGAGGAGGAGGAGGAGGAGGAGGAGGAGGAGGAGGAGGACGAAGCCAGGGCGAGGGCAGCGTCGGGCGAGGACACACCCAGGACCTCTGAGATCCGAGGGTAGCATCGGGTGCGAGGACACATCGAGAATCGTTGAGATCCGGCGGCCCCCGGGTAGGAATGGCTCACGTGGTGCGCGGCCTCTTCTCTTGCGGGGCCGCCGAGGGGGGTGGAAGGTGGAGGGGGGGGGGCCAGAAGCCAGCGCGCAGGCCGGTGCCGGGAGCCCCGTTGAGACGAAGCCAGGGCGAGGACCACATCGAGCGAGGACACACCGAGGATCTCTGAGATCCGAGGACACCTTCCCAAACATCCGCCTGCTCCAACTTTTTGGTGCGTGGACCCAGGAGGTCTGGACCACTTCCCCGGGACCGGTTTTTCGTCCTGAACCGTTTTTTGACGCTCCCGAGGCCCGGCGAGGGCCCCCGGAGGCCGAAAACTGCCAAAAACCGCGTGCTCCAATTTTTGTTGGAGCGTCGGCTCCCAGGGGAGTACACCTCGAGAGCCTCTGAGATCCGGCGATCCTGGCGCCTCGCGAGCGCCGCGGCCTTCTCCGAGCGCTCCGGAGCGCGGGGGGGCCGCCCGCGGGGGGGGGCGGGCGGCAGGCGCGCAGGCCATGGCCCCATGGGGGAGCCCTGCCAGGACGAAGCCAGGACGAAGCCAGGACTCGGAGATGGACTCCGCGGGCTGCAGAAACAACGAACGCGGAAGCAGCCGCCGCATTTGGGCGTTTGGACGCAGGGGCTGCAGTTTGTTGCTTGAACTCTCCGTTCTCCGCTCGCTTTCGCCGTATAGAAAGTGCAGACCGACAGGGGGAATTGACCGCGGAAGCTGCGCCCGCAGCGATGCGCTTCCACGTCGGACATGTTTGTTTTGTATCGGGGATGGACAGACCCCCATTCAGTAAAACGTGGTTTAGTGGAACCGACCTAAGGCCCAAACCTGGCGGGCGCAAGCCTGGAAAATAACGGCCACGGCGCCCTCTCCAGAGCCGAAAACAGGCAATTCACTAATCGACGTGTCACTGTTGGGGGTTCTGTCCGCCCCCGAAGGGCGAGGACGAGCGTTTTTGCTGCTGTTGCTGAGCGGCATGATATGATAGCAGCTTCGATCCGCGCAACTTTCTCGCGGATTCTAGAAAGTTCGGCCTCCGCGCCTTCACCTCCACAATTACATCCTATTGGCCGGAGATTAAGGAACATTCGGGGGGTGAAGGGAGGGCGGGGTACTATATTATCGCCCGTCGGCGATTATGTTGTTCCCATCCCCGAACCCCCTCGAGGCAATGAAAAAATCAGGACAACAACTATTCCACGTTTTCGGCCTCTGGGGGCCCTTCCCGGCCCTCGAGGCCGTCCAAAAACTACTCAGGATGATGAGAAGCCGGTCCCAGGGAACGGGTCGAGACCTGTCAGGGTCGACGCTCTGAAAAAATCATGAAGTCGGGGGTCTGGGTCGCACTCGAGGACCACATCCCAGAAGCTCGAACACCCAAAAAAGCATCGAACCAGTGGGGCTCGACACGTAAAAATCCTCGAGTTTCGGTATTTTGTTGGTGCTCGAATTTTTGTCTGGTGATCCAGGCTCGAATCGGTTGGAGCATCATAAGACGAGGATGACATCGGGTGATGATACGTCGAGGATATCTCTGAGCTCCGGCGGTTCTGGTGTCGCGGGCGCCGCGGCCTTCTCGGAGCGCTCGGGAACCCAAACATCCGCCAGCTCCAATTTTGTTCGGTGCGTGGACCCAGGAGGTCTGGACCACTTCCCCGGGACTGGTTTTTCGTCCTGAGCCATTTTTTGACGCTCCCGAGGCCCGGCGAGGGCCCCCGGAGGCCGAAAACTGCCAAAAACTGCCTGCTCCAATCTTTTTGGAGCGTCGGATCTCAGGGAACGCGCTGGGAGCGTTCCAGAACGCTCCGGAACGGATTGATCCTCGTCCTGGCTTTGCCCGCCCTGCGGACCCGCACGGGCAGGAACGCCCCACCAGGGGCCACTCCTTCACAGTGGAGGCCCGACCACAAGAGACCTTCCAGGAGAAACCCGACCCTGAGACCACAGGCGTGGGAACGTCACGCCTTCCACAGCAAAACCCTCGAAGCCCAAGAAACCCACGGCACCCTGGAGGCAAGCAGGGTGTTTCTTGGCACGGGTCTCCACTGTGCGTGTGCAGCGGGTCTGCTCTAAGGGCTGGGCCGCAGCATGCTGCGCGGCTCTGGGGCGCCGCGCAGGGGGGCCCGGGTGCGGGCGCGCACAGGTAGTGCTGGGGGGAGCCCTGGAGATTTTTTTTTTTTTGTGTGCCGCGTCACGGTCGTTATCTGGGGGGTGGGGTATAGGGGTCTGGGTCACGGCTCGGCCTGGGCGGGGTGAGCCCTGGGGATCCGCACCCGGACCCCGGACTCTGTGGCAACTCGCAGGAGCCTCCCATGCCATCTTGCTGGCTCTTGCGAGTCGACACTTCCCGACGCCACTTGACGCTGATGCGACGCTGAACCGACGCTGGTCGGCGCCAAACCGTTGCGTTCCACTCGACGACCAGATGCTAGCGCACGCCAGTGCACTCTGAAGACGGTTGCAAGGCTCGCCTGGGTTGCAGGCTGCTGCCACCGAGCCGGCAGACACTCCAGCGAGGGGTCGCTTCGCACGTGCAGCCCATCCGCTCGGAGGGCTGAGCCGCAGCATGCCGGGCGCAGGTGGCATGGGGCCCGGCAGGCTCGTGCCGTGCCGACGTCGGCGCTGGGCTCTGGCACCGCGGGGATCGCTCAGTCTTCAGCGATAGGCCGTTTCCGAAGCGTCAGATCGTTCCACATCGACCGTTTCTGGCTCGCCAGCGGCGTTCAACGTTGGACGCAGGCGGCGGGGTCGCCACCGGTCGACACGACGCGAACCTACCGCAAGAGGAAAGCATTGCACACGAGTCGACACCAGCGCTGCCAGGCAGAGTCGCGGGATGCTCCCGCTCACGATGCGCTGGTATGTCGTCCGATGCTGGGGATGGCGTGGAGGGAGGATGGAGGGACTGAGATCTTCTTCTTGCTCATGCTCTCCCGATTGGTTCTCGACGGTGCCCAGACTTGTCCTTGATCTGGCCCAGATGGTATCCACGCGGTGCCCTCAATTGTGCCTCGGGGTGTTGCTGAACGAAGCATCGAACTCAGGAATCCCGAATCATGTTTAATTCGGCATCTGTTGACCTGCATGGCGTGACATTTGTCAGAAATCCTGCTGGCCCTGAATTGGGAGCTCCATCCCAATTGATGTCCGAAATTGCCCCACGCTGATTTACCCGACGGTGTCCAGATGAATTTGTGATTCGTGCCCCGACCAATGACACTCTACTAAGACAATGACGCTACTTCAAATGCTTTTAGTGCTGATGATTGTGTCGATGAATTTTCGCGGCGCGATCGCTGGTGGCCCGCGTTAGCTGCGCAGGTCTTTGAGCGTTTGCGGGGACCGGCCTAGTCGTACACAAGTCAGCGCGCAATGGGGAAGGAATGGTCGAGGAAGAACAAGCAGCATGCAGACACATCGGGAACAAGAGCAAGGTGCTGGAGATCCAATATATGAGGAACAACAGCACAAGCGGTATCACATGTAGGATGGCGAGGGATACGACAGCAAACAAATGTCACACATACTAGCATTTGCAAGTCCTTGCGTAATGACGGGTCGGCGCCGGACCCCTCCCCACACCTCTTCCCCAGCACTCCGAGCGCTGCAAGAGCGGCGCTGGAGGCTCCGCCAGGCGTGCGGGGACGGGAGCCCAGCCAGCGCCGACCGAAGCAGTCCGCGCGGACCTTTCGAGCATCTATACTTGTGCCGCTGTCTGTTCTCCGAGAGGAAGAGAAGGAGGGGCGGCCAACATAACCCGAGCAGCAGCAGCAGCTGCTCGGGAGCGGCAAGGGAGTCGGGGCACCCGACCTGGGCGAGCAGGGAAGCACCTTCCAGCATACACGGGGGCCCCTCTGCACACGGAGACCCTTTGCGACATCGCGGGCTCCTCACTTCAAGTGGCCTCCTCAATCCAGCAACTGTACTGCTGCAAGCCGTCGCTTCAAACTCGGCGACGCGTAAGAATGGCCCCAGGCAAGGGTGACGTTTCGTGCGCGGCTTGCCGATAGCTGCGTGCGGCACGACAGCAGCGGCCTGCGTGCGTGGGGTTGGCCCCCCTGTGCTCTCCGCAAGCCGCGCGGCAAAGGCCACTCTGGCACAAGGCACACTCTTACGTGCAACCGGGCAAACGGCAAATGAAACACCTCCGGGGATAAAACTACGCGGCGTCGTCGCCGTCCTACCTGGTGAGAGAGGTCATCGGGGAGTGCGCCCCCGCGGGAGTGGCTGGGTCGTTGTCGACCGCGCCGCCGCCGACGTTGTGCGAGGTCGACGTCTTCAGGTTCCGGGGGTCCATGCACTTGTACCCGATTTTCTTGCAGCAAGTCATCGGGGAGATTCGGTTGGTGAACGTGCCCCCCGTGAGGTCCGAGCACTTCGCATAGCACGTGCCCATGTACAGCTCCTCGTTGAGCAGGCAGGTCCCGGGCGGGTGCGGGCACTTCGAGATTCCTTGACTGTCGCCAGCGACGTCAAAGCCGCCGCATATGGACATTTTGTACCGCATCTTCAGCGGGCTGCAGAAGTTCTTCGTTGGGCAGCAAGACATGGCCGAAGTACGGTACGGATGGGTGCCGTTGGTCAGGAGCTCACAGGTCTTGTAGCATAGGCCCGCGTGTATCTCTTCGTCGTCAGCGCACGTGTTGTTGTCGTCCCTCGTCATCTTTGGCCCCAGACCCTTGGTGAGGTTGTCGAATAAGGCCTTCGCGTACTCCGCGTCGAACTCCGAGCCGCTGAACGCTGCACCCGAGGCATTCTTGAACGACTCCTTGGCCGCCTGGAACGCCTCGCTGGTCTCTGGCACCTCCTGCAGCATCTGGACCTTTCCGGCGAGTATCGCGGCGAGCTCCCGTGCATCTGCCCTCCGAGGCGGGTGCGGCGGGAACACGGTGGCCCTCTGCGGCGGGTGCCCGGCGTCCGCTGGGCGCCCGGCGCCACCCTCGATGCCGAGCGCCGCGACCGCGCCGCACAGCAGCAGCGCGGCGACGCCGGCCCAGCGAGAAGCCCTGGGACACCGCGCGATGCCGTGGGCGAAGCCGCTGGCGGAGTCCTGCAGCAGCGTCTCCTCCTCGCTGGAGGTGGCAGGCACGCGCGCCTCCACGTCCCACGGCATCTCGATCTCCCGTGCCCTCTGCAGCATCCTGGAGGCCGGTGCGTCCAGAGCGAGACCCTGTGGTGGCTCCAGCCGCCCTTGGACCTTGAGCCCAAATCACTGATGATGGCTCCAAGACTGCCCAAACGGCCTCCAGGAGGGTCCGAATAGAAGAGCGATCCCCAGGGCTCCTAAGGTTGTCCCAAGACAGTCCTCGCTCCAAAAGCCCTCCAAAAACTCCGACATGTGTCAGAAATGTTTTCCCGACATGTCTCAGAAATGTTTTTTCCCATTCTCCCGACAACTCGCCTGGTCATCGTTTCCAGGCTTTGGTGGTCTGGTGGGATACGCGAGGCGACACGACAGTTCTAGAGAGTCAAATATTCGATGCGCACTGGATCGATAATGAAGCGGTCCGGAATCTCAGGTCAAGCTAGAACGTGCCAGCGCGATGCAGATTTCCGATTGGTTTCAATCTCTTTGTGATGTGAAAACTCGGAGGGACGAGAAGGCAGGACAGCAAAGGGCAGAGTAGAGAATCGGCTCACGTAGCTGGTTTTCCTGGCGCCTCCTGGCGTCGGGAAACGCCCATGTATCGAGGAATGGTCCCGGCGGCGGGGCCGAAACCAGCTGCGTGCAGCAGAATTCAGAACACCCCCTTTCCCTATCCTACCCTTTCGCCCAGCCGGAATGGTATGGTTCGCGAACGTCGAGGGAAGTCGGATGGGTGGGCCTCGGAGCCGAGCAATTACGGTCGGGAACTTTTGCTTAGCGTGTCGCGGTGGCGGCCCTGGCGACACGCCATGCCGTGCAATCGGATATAGCATGCCGCTCCGCTTCGCGGGGTGGGAGGCTGGCAAAAACTCGGCAGAGATTTCGTACCCCCCTTTCCGTATCCTACCCTTTCGTCGGGCCCGAAGATCGGCCTCTGCGGGGGCGGGGGACAGCGATGCTCCTGGTTCCCCCCCAGCTCCTGACTAACCCAGTCCAGAGAGCACGTCAATGTTACAGCAGTTCGGCTGAAACCACAAAGGCTCTGGCATTGAGGCCATACCGAACGCTTGGGAACGCATCTCTTACAAGCAGGCGTTGCCCAGGCTTCCCGCAGTTGCAACCCCAGTGCCTGTGAAACTCTGCCCCGGAGCTCGCCAACTTTTACCTGCAGTGACTCAAGATGCCTCGCCGCCCTCCTCATACAAATGCACCATCCCCTGCAGCACGCGGGACCTGACAAGACTGCACCGTCCACGGGCGTGCCATCAGAGAGGGTGATCTCCGTCCGCCGCAGCCCCCCCTCCTTCACGGGGCACGACCTCGCAGGAGCCACGCTTCCGACCCACCGCTTGCCACGAGGGAAGAGGGTCCTGAGGGAAACGAGTCCTGGACCCGGGGCCTTCCCACAGGACCAACGCGCTTCATCCAGTGTCACTTTCTGGACGGTCCATGGGACCCGTGGATGGGGCTCGGGGAGGCCGATGGCGGCGAACAGCCTTCGAGACCCGCTTCCCTCAGGACCACTTTACGGCGAGGGCCGCGTGGCCCGATCAGAACAGCTGGATGGAAGGGGCGCACGGGCGCACGCACACACAAATGAATCGACGCCAATCCCAGGATTCCCCCTATGCTTCCAATCTTCCCCGCTCCACTCCCCACTTTTTCCAATCCCTGCCCTGGGAGTCGACGTTTCTCTGTGTCTGTGTGTGTGTGTGTGTGTTCTCTTCCTGGTCGATCACGGACCTGACGCCGCCGAGACGACGACGTCGATGCCGCAGGAGGGCGCCTACGCGCCCGTGGCGGGACATCCCAAATCTCCGTGCGGCCGCTCGCTGGATCGGGCAGGAGCGGTCTCTCTCGCGAGCGGCGACGCGATGGCTCGGGGGGGACGGAAGTGCACGCATACCGGAGGTGGACAAACCTGCCTTTAGTAAACCTCCCTTTAGCGGAAACGACCTAGGACCGAAACCGACGGACCCCGCAAAAATAACGGCCGCGGCGCCCTCTCGCGAACCGAATCATCGACGCGTCAGGGTAGGTCTGTCCACCCCCGAGAATACTGGGATGGGCGCGCGGGGTGTTCACGGGGCAGAGAATCGGCTCACGTAGCTGGTTTTCCTGGCGCCTCCTGGCGCTGGGAGGCGCCCAGCGCATCGAGGCCTGGGCCTGGCGTCGGGGCCGAAACCAGCTGCGTGCAGCAGAGTTCGTAACCACCCCTTTTCCCTATCCTTCCCTTTCGCCCCGCCCGAGTGGTGTGATCCGCGAACGTCGAGGGAGTTCGGATGCGTGGGCCTCGGAGCCAAGCAATTACGGTCGGGAACTTCTCCCTAGCGTGTCGATGCGGCGGCCCTGGCGACACGGGAGGGGGAGGGGGCGAAGCGAACGTGGACGGATGGACGCAGGGAGAAAATAAGAAGAGGGCGTGAGGAGGAGGGCGCGCGGCAGCGTCCAGGGTCCCTTCTTCTGCCCTCCTCCTCCTCCTTCTCGTCCTCCTCCTCCTCCTCCTCCTCCTTCTCCTTCTAGTCCTGGGCACTGACGGCATCGGTGTCAATCTTGGCGCTGCCACTCCTCCTTCTGCTCCTCCTCCTCCTCCTGCGCCTCCTCCTCCTCCTCCTCCTCCTCCGCCTTGCTGCCACGCTGCAGGAGATGCGACTAGAGAGGGGGCGAAACTACAGTCTTTGAAGCCCTCCACCCAGAGCACACTCCAGAAACAATTTTGCGAGGACTTGGATCTTGACTGGCTAGAACTAAAATGGTTCCAAACCCTTGCGAAGGGGACGGAAGTTCAGAGGGCCAACGACATTTGAGATAGGGGGCCTTGTTCTGCAGATGTATCAAACCAAACCGCCCAGATCTCTTACCCCTAATGCAGCGACGGGGCCCTAAGTGAGGCCACGTCATCACTATGCTGAGAGGGTTAGGGGTTCTTGCATCCTCGAAGATTGGATGGGCAGTGAATGAAGAGTAAGAGAGGGAGAGAGAGAGAGAGAGGGAGAGAGAGACAGTGAGAGAGAGAGAGAGAGAAACTCCTCCTGCTCCTCCTCCTCCTCCTCCTCCTCGTCCTCCTCCTCCCTCTCCCCCTCCTCCTCCTCCTCCTCCTCCTCCTCCTCCTCCTCCTCCTCCTCCTCCTCCTCCTCCTCCTCCTCCTCCTCCTCCATCCTCTTCCTCCTGCCATCATCCTCTTCATCACCCCTGCTGGACACACGGATGGGCGGACGAACGGACCGACACACGGAACGGCAGACGGAGGCGCGGGGCGGCCGGCCAGTCCACCGGCCGAGCGGCCTGCCAGGCAGACGGGCAGCCGCACCGTCGGAGGTTCAGACGAGCAGCCCGACCGTCACAAGCGGTGCATGATCAGGAGGGGGAATATGAAGGGGCCCCAGGACACACAAATAAATACACACAAATAAAATGATTCCCCACATTTTCCCATATTTTCTGTGTTTTTGTTTTCCCCTCACTTCCCATAGTTTCCCATATTTTCCTGGGGATCGTCGATTGATTGTGTCTGTGTGTTTTTCTTCCTCCTGAAAATACTTAGAGGAACATAATCACGATGATGCTCGCGATTTGTTTCTATGATGGTGATGATGGTGACGGCGGCGACAGTGATGACGGTGATGGCAGTGGCAAGGAGGATGATGAGGAGGTAGAAGGAGCCAGCTCGCAGCAGTCATCCTCAAGGCGGTACGACGTTGTTCGCTCGCGCCACCTGCAGCTAAGCGCCCCATTCCTCCTTCCTCCCTCTCAATCTCTCCCTTCCAGCTTCTTTCTCCTCCCTCCTCAGCCCTCTCTTCTCCATTCTCCCTCCCCCTCCCTGCTCCCCCTCTCCTTCGTCTTCGTCCTCGTGCTCAGCCTCGTCCTCGTCCTCGTCCTCGTCCTCTGTATCCTCCTCCTCCTCCTCCTCCTCCTCACTTTCCCTCATCCCCCCTTCAATCTACCAATCCACGACGACCAAATGCTGCAGCGGTAACGCCTGCAATCAAAACCTCCCCCTCCCCTTACCATCTCCCCCTCCCCCTCCCCCTCCCCCTCCTCCTCCTCCTTCTCCTCCTCCTCCTCCTCCTCCTCCTCCTCATCATCCTTGTCATCTCGGGCCCAGGTCCGCCGTCGAAACCCGACCCGAGAAACTGTCGTGGGCCACACCCCCTGGCTTACACGCAGCGGACCCCACCGGCCACGACATCTCTTGCGCTTCCCTGCTCCGACGGGGCTGGCTGCTGTTTCATTATATGCCTCCGCCTCCTGTGCGCCGCATCCTGCCTCCTCCCTCCTTCCTCTTCTTTTCTCCCCTCCCTCCGTTAGGAGGCCTCCCGGATGGGGTCGGAGCAGATGGGGTCGGAATATCGCACAGCATCGCCGATACATCGGCGATGCATCGGCGATATGCATCGGCGACGTCGACGTGAAGCCCATCGGGCTCCACATCGAGCCGCATCGGCGATGCAGCGGCGATGCGGCGCGATCCTCCGACCCCATCTGCCCCCGGGGAACCCAAGAGGTACCGATACCGCTACTCCCCGGACCTCTCCTGGGGTGCGCTCTGACTGAGGCGAATCCGGTGGTGGCGACGAGGGCCTCCCAAGAGGCCGAGCGAGCTGGTCAACGGGCGAAAAGTAACGGTATGGGTACCTTCTCCTCCTCGGATGCATCGGCCCCATCGAGGAGGCCTAGATTTAGGTCAGGCCTGTCCCCCTACACGGGGATTTTCGATGAAAAATTAGAAAATACCGTAAACATGCTCACAAATGGTCAAAAGAAATACTCAAAAAATAATCCCCAGACTCTGTTTGACTATTTTTGAATATTCCTCCTGTAGAGGGACACGCCCGACTTAAGCCTAGATCCGTCTGCTCCAGGACAGTCTCCTGCCCTGTCGGGAGCCCGTCGCCCTCGGGACCCCGGCGGCCTCGGCGCCGCGGGCGATCCTGCCCCGCGTGCCGGGCCCGGGCCGGGCCAGGCCACGCGCAGGGGGCCTCGTGCTGGCAGGCGAGCAGTGCTCCGCTGCAGAGGCCGCCAACTGGAATCGTCGGGGGGCGGAGCGCTCGGAG